TTGACCTGTATTGGCAATCATTAATATAGTTTAAGCACGAAGATAGTCCGTGCTAGCTGGTCACCTTAATGCCAGTACCCTATCTGCCATATGCTCTGTGTGTGTGTGTGTGTGTGTATGTTTGTGTGTGTATGTGTGTGTGTGCGCGCACGCGCGTGTACGTTTGTGTGTGAGAGTGAGAAAAATACTGGCAGACCCAGTAACTAGCACTAAACAGAAAGATTGGATGCCATAATAGCAGCCAACTGACTTTTCAATTTGTTGTATGTCTAGAGGCTAGTGAGCTTTGTCAGTCATATGCTTGTAACTGGACAGCCACGATCCTCATTTGCTTATCATGTTCTGGGCGATGATCACAGTCTTGGTGGAAGCCCAAGCTACACCAGAAGGGTCAGAGGAGAAATAACCAAAGGCCATTATGTGTATGTGAACGAACAGTCAGGCCTGGTGACAGCTTATTGTCAATGAACAATGTTATATAATTAAGATGTGAGCAACTGTTGTCATGCTCTAGACCCAGTGTTTTTCTATTCTTGAAGGCCATAGTGCTCTGGCACTCCAGTGGTATATTTTTGGCCAGTTTATGGTTAATAAATGTTTTGTCTCATTCATGGTCCAATTGTGTATGCTGTTCTAGTGTTATAGTCAATAAATGGTGGAGTTGTTTACGTCCTTTTTTTTTCCGTTGTTTACTAAAATTTTTAGTATGGTTCAACATGAATGCTCCTCCATCTTTACTACGAAACACAGTTGGAGGTCGCATAAATTGTGGTAGAGTCTTTGACTACTCTAGTTTTTTCTTTTCTTCAGGTGTCCACATTTAATATTTTAATGCTTCTTACCTACCATCTAATTCCCACAACAGGAATCGCTTTCTGCAACCATAATAAAATCCTGGGAAAGTCCCTTATCTTTAATTATATTCTCTCCGTGTGGGTTCTAGGGTCCCATTGTGGGGAAAACAAAAATAGACCCACTGCCTAACCAAAAGTATGTCATAACAGTCGACTAATTGTGAGCTTCCTTCGAAATTCATCTGTCTGAGAGGCAAAGAACCAACAGTCTAAATACAAGTCAGTCAGATAGGCAAAACGGAAGTGCACACAACACTCAGGTTCTGCAACAAGGAGAGTCCAGAAGTAGACGAAGAACCAGAACTTTCCGCCGGAGGTTACAGTCGGCAAACGTGAAGAAGTAACATTATACTCTCGAGCCACATGTGTAGTCCGGTCTATGGACTGTGATTTTCCATGTCAAGTCTATCACTTTCTTAAAGACCTTATGTCAATTTATGAAAGTAGATAAAGACATTAGAGATGTATTAGCTATGAAACAACATAGCGCTGGAAAACTGGCTAGAGGGAAGAAAAGAGACTTTCTGGAGCACCGTGACCAAACGCGATGTCCTGTGACGAACTTGCTGGCTGACGATAAGAGTGACATAATGCCAGACGTTATTTCAAACTGGCTTATATTTTCTTAACTGCATAAAAGACATCGATTCGTGCCTCCGTCTTCGATTCGAACCCGTGTAGGTTTCGGGGCCCTGTTATGGGGGAAACAAGAATAGACCCACTATCCAAAAGTATGTCGTAAGAGTCGACTAATTGGGAGACTTCCCTTAAAGTCGGAGTGCATCTGCCTAAGAGGCAATGAACCAACAAAGTGTATTCAATTGAATCAGATCTGTAAAACTGATGCACACGCAACACTCAGGTTTTGGGGCAGAACTGCAGTCCAGAAGTGTACGAAAAACCAGACCTTTCCGCCAAAGTGTACAGCTTATGAGCGCGAAGAAATAAGCGAAGAAGAAGAAAAAGAAGAAGAAGAAGAAGAAGAAGAAGAAGAAGAAGAAGAAGAAGAAGAAGAAGAAGAAGAAGAAGAAGAAGAAGAAGAAGAAGAAGAAGAAGAAGAAGAAGAAGAAGAAGAAGAAGAAGAAGAAGAAGAAGAAGAAGAAAAAGAAAGAAGAGAAGAAGAAGAAGAAGAAGAAGAAGAAGAAGAAGAAGAAGAAGAAGAAGAAGAAGAAGAAGAAGAAGAAGAAGAAGAAGAAGAAGAAGAAGAAGAAGAAGAAGAAGAAGAAGAAGAAGAAGAAGAAGAAGAAGAAGAAGAAGAAGAAGAAGAAGAAGAAGAAGAAGAAGAAGAAGAAGAAGAAGAAGAAGAAGAAGAAGAAGAAGAAGAAGAAGAAGAAGAAGAAGAAGAAGAAGAAGAAGAAGAAGAAGAAGAAGAAGAAGAAGAAGCAGGAGAAGAAGAAGAAGAAAAAGAAAAAGAAGGAGAAGATGTATCGCGTTAGTTTGCTGGTTTGTCTTTTCTCCAGCACATGAACACGTTGTTGTTTTAATCCAGCTAAATAGACCTTCGGTGCTTGGAAAATGGAAGAAAAGTCATAAAAATAACCTAAAAAAACCTTGTACACTTAAGATCTCTCTCTCTCTCTCTCTCTCTCTCTCTCTCTCTCTCTCTCTCTCTCTTTCAGTGTGTGTGTGTGTGAGTGTGTGTTATGTAGTGTGCGTATATGTATGTGTAGGAGTGTGCACAGTACTAAGTGAACGTGGTCATCATCATACGGCAGGTCCTGTGCAAAACGTCGCTGTCATCACGGTCAGCCTGAAAGAAACTCGGTCTCTCGTCAGCTCTACATCCTCGTTTCCTTTTATCTTCAAGGAGTCACTTATATCCTGTGCCCATTTTTGTGTTGGTCGGCCCCTGTCCCTCCCTCTGCTATTATAATTTACAATCCACCATGGCGTTTGATATCACCATAATATTTCAGCTCTTGAGACAAGATGCTGTTTATTAGCCAGTCTTCCTTGATGTTCAAATCTTTTAAAATGTTAGTAATTCTCTTCTTCTTTCCCGTAGTATTCTGAGGATCTTTCTTTAGTATTTCAGCTCAAAAGCTCTTCTTTCTTAAGGAAGAACGTGAACGTGACAAAGGGAGAGTAATGCATAGAAACAACATTTATTGTCAAACCTACTGTGTAAACGTTGATCTATACAGCTGTGATATGCCCGACAAGCCATTGTTGTGAAAAGGAGCCCTTGTAACTGCTTACAGTTCTTAGAAATTGTAAGCCCCGGAGGCTCAGCAAACTCTCGTCTTTTTATATTTTTCAAGGGGGCTGCGTGGTCTCAAGGTGTCCGCCTCGAGTGCTAGAGGTTCCGAGTTCAATCCCCGGTAAGGGCTTTGATTTTTTCAGCTGGACTTGGACTTCTAGTAATTCCCCCAGGTCTCTCTCTCTCTGGGTAGTGAGATCGGACGCCCGTGTGCATTGCTGCGCACGTAAAAAATCCCTTGGCAGATGGAAATCGAAAAGAGTAGCATAACGGCGCTGCCCGGGCAAATTTGGAGTTAAAAATCTACCCAAAGTATTTCAGGATCCTCGCCGGTGCTACGGGCATGTGCACTGGGCTGAACTTCTTCCTACTCAGACTTGAGTTTGAAGAAGAACTGAGCACTTATGGGTAACTACCCGTGTGCCATGATATTGAACTGTCGTTCAAACTTTAAACCTCAAACCTCATTTTTTCTTCTTTGATAAAAGAGTAATTCACTTTTCAGAAACTAAGTTCGATCACAAAATTACAGATTTTCTGCGCAGTAGTTTAGAAGAAAAGAACAAATAGTTATGAAAGTGAAGTCGGTGTGACAACAGCAATGCACTCGATGACGAAGGATGTATTTGGCTATGGACGCTATAGAAACAGTTGAAAACACCGCAGGCGTTCATATTTTGCGACACTTCCGGTTCTTGCGAGAAACTCGGGCTATGGTGAGCTAATGAAATTCTCAAACTATTTCCAGCAGTAACCCCGCAGTATTTTACTATCAGGGAATAGTTAATAGACGGTGATCTTGTATCGCTTCAGGGGGATTAGGATCAGGGAGATGGTTTAAGAAGGTTGCTTTTCTCTTTCTTTATTGGAAACTTAGTCATTTCATATAAACTTGATTCCAATGGTAATGGAAATTCTCCTAAAAGTACATGTTCAGCCGATAGTATCGGTAACAGAATGTTCAAGTGTTGTCAGTGGATGGGGCGGGGATTGGGTGGTGGTAAGGGTGGAGAGTAGTATCAAGCGAAACAAGTGGTGGACGCCTTAGGGAAGGTTCAACGCTAGATGTGAAACGTTGGAATAAACTATGAATGGTATTATAATCTTTTTCTTCTTCATCTGCTTCTTCTTCTTCTTTATATATATATATATATATATATATATATATATATATATATATATATATATATATATATATATATATATATATATATATATATATATATAAGGATTGTCGATACTATACTCCAATGAAAAGTGTAAAGCTCGCGAGCAAGAGGTGGACAGCGGTACTTTTGAGAGAATATCATCAAAAGAAAATCAAGCTCTCAGAGAGTGCAGCCAAGTCGAAATGCAGGGAGTACTGGAAATGCATCGCAGCCGACCTTCACTGTGGGTATGGCAGTAGTATGAGATGTGCAGGATAGGTATTATTTCAATATAATCCTGGAGATTCCGCAAGGATTAACAGGGAAAGGGGGGGGGGAGTGTCGAATCGTGGCTGAGAAGGTTCCAGATGAGGTTCTTTTCAATTAAAATTTCATTGAACGTTTTTTGATTTTATCCTCCTAAATTTACCTCTGTCCACCTCTTGCTCACACACTTTCCACTTTTCATTGCCTTTCATATTCTATCTGTCCAAACATAGACGGCTCCTATTGACACTTTAAACAGTAGCTTGGCGACAAAACTATATCTTTTTAGTTTACAAATGGAGGAAAATGCAACGGCCACTGTCTATCGGAAGCAACAACTTGCAATGATTAAAAACAGTGAACGTGCCTAACTTCCATTTCGACCGTAGTAGTGTTGTTGTTGGTAGTGGTTATAGCGATAATAGTGGTGGTGGTGATAATAATGATGAGGATGCTGAAGATGGATGATGGTGATAAGTATGATGATGATGATCATGAGACACTTTCAAGACTATCTAGTAATTTCAACAGGTGAGAGAGTGGTCATCCTCACGGACATTCTCATCAAAAGTATGGGCCCAATCTCAGAAACCGACATGGTAAGTTCCACGTTAACCTCACGTAGCATGTTTGTGAAATAGTGACTTCTAGTGTTGAGTTACCACCAAGTAGCATGTTTGTAAAATACGTGACTTCTAGCTTTACGTTGAGCTCACGTATCATGTTTGTGAAATAAGTGACTTCTAGCTTTAAGTTCGCCTCCCGTAGCATGTTTGGGAAATAAGTGACATATAGCTTTAAGTTCACCTCCCGTAGCATGTTTGGGAAATAGTGACTGCTAGCTTTACTTTAACATCAAGTAGCATTTTTGTGAAATACGTGACTTCTATCTCCACGATGACCTCACGTAGCATGTTTGTGAAATACGTGACTTCTAGCTTTACGTTAACCTTATGTAGCATGCTTTTTAAATACATGACTTCTAGCTTTACGTTAACCTCATGTAGCATGTTTGTGAAATACGTGACTTCTAGCTTTACGTTAACCTCATGTAGCATGTTTGTAAAATAGTGACTTCTAGCTTTACGTTAACCTCATGTAGCATGTTTGTGAAATAGTGACTTCTAGCTTTACGTTAACCTCATGTAGCATGTTTGTGAAATAGGGACTTCTAGCTTTACCTTAACCTCATGTAACATGTTTGTGAAATAGTGACTTCTAGCTTTACGTTAACCTCATGTAGCATGTTTGTGAAATAGTGACTTCTAGCTTTACGTTAACCTCATGTAGCATGTTTGTAAAATACGTGATTTCTAGTTTTACGTTAACCTAATGTAGCATGTTTGTGAAAATACAAAATTTAATAAAATCAGAAATAAACAGTCCTTTTTCTCTGCTTCACCTGAAAGTCACAACTTTTATCTTTACTGACAGACTTCGCTGGAATAAGTGATTTTATGTATTCTGGTTTGTGATTGTATCATTGTCCGTTTGTATCATTAGCTGATGATGGTTTTCTAGCCGCACCGTTGATGTTGTTAATCATGATTGTGACTTTGTGCAGCTGACTAGTTCTACTTGTAACCCTTTGGAAATAAAGTTGGCTCGTTCGTTCGTACTTCTCGTTGGGACATATTTTCATACATGGTTAGTGCCAAGTAAGCCAACTATAGACTAGCTAGCGTGTGTGTCAGCTGGTGTCCTGTCACTGTCATAAATGCACCATTGCTGGCCATCATCATCATCGCATGTAGAAGCTCTTTTCAGAAGGTCGCTGTTATCAAAGTCAGCCTGAAAGTCAATCTTTCGACGCCTCACCTGCATAGTGCACTTTCCAATCCATATTTCTCATATGTCATGTGTCCACATTTGTGCTGGTTGGTCCCTGCCTCTTGTTAATGGCACCAAACCCTCTGCTACTGCTTTTTCTAATCCGCCTATGGCCAAAATAGTTTCAGTATCCTATCGAGGCTGGTGTTTACGAGCCACTCTTTCTTGATACTCACATATGTTAGGATACAACTTGAACAATGTTGATAACAGCAACTGGAAGACAATTGACTCTGTTAACTTGAAGAATTTTGATTGAAATAAACTGAGGGACATCAGTGCTTGTAGCTCACATCTTTTATGATATACGTTTTTATTTTATTATTTATCCTTGTATTCTGAGAATCTTTCTATTGTACTTGAGCTCAAAGGTTCTTTTTACCTTAATAAATTATATATTTCTTTATTTGTTTACAAACTATACTTTCTTATTATTTAGAATATCCTGAGCATGAAGCGCCAAACACAAATTCAACGTTTCGGTAACTAAACTTTAAGTGTACACCTTCCCTGGAAATTCGCATCAGTTTTGATATTTGGTAGAGCCTTAATGCAAGCTGGTTTTGGTTCCATGGCATGTTTTCTTTGTGGGCATATACTAAAAAGCACGTAGAACAATGCAGAACATAATTCGCTGTCAATGAGCTGGTAGGCAGTACACGCAGTTTATCCAGTCAGTAGAAAGATAGATCTCGTACAGTCAACAGTTTGTCAGTTTAGCAGTCTTTGATTATTTCTCCGCTAGTCCAGTTAATTTGGGCCACAGATGTTGTACAAGCCACGAGTCACGTACGGTCTATATGACAACAGTCGAATTATTGACCAACCAAACGGGCAAGTGGAAAGTACCGAAGAGACCAATCGTGGAAATGGATCTCCACCACAGATTGATTGGGTGGAGCCCTTTGGGTCACGTTTAGCATTTATGTATTACTTGTACACTTTTGGGTCTTATTCTGTTCTCGGTTCCTTCTTCCTGAAGTCCACGTCGTGCAGCATTCGTCATCGTGTCTATTCACAGCCTCGAATACATAGCCTTCCTTTTTCATTATTACACAACATTGTACAGATGTCCCGCGGTTGAAAAGAAAAGTTTACAAATTTACCAACGATAAAAAAAAAAAAAAAGGGGGCATGTGTTCAGTATTGAGAAGGGGTTGGACTTGAGGGTTTTCATATAAGTACGTCTGTCTTTTTTCAACCGGGGGGGGGGGGGGGGGGGGGGGGGGGGGGGGGGAAGAAGTAAAACACAATCGCTATAGCAAGAAAGCAACAAGTACCGATGTCCCTCGCTTTATTTTAATCAACATACCTCAACTTAGTAAAGTCAATGGTCTTCCAGTTGCTTTTATCAACATTTTTCAAGTTGTTAGGTTAAACATTTCTCGAGTTGATAAAATCAACATTCAGTGAGTTGCTAGAATTACTATTCTACAAGTTTTCAGTGTTAGTATTGTTCGGGTTGCGTAGATCAGTATTACTCGTGCTGAAGGAATCAGCGTTCTTCGAATTCTAGTATCAATATTTCTTCAGTTACGAATATATAGTTCAAGTACTATAATCTCACATATACTGAATCAGTCTACCCCAGGTTGTTAGAATCAGGTTTTCTCCAATTGTTGTGTTAAAATAGACAAGCTTGTTTAGAATCAACATTTCTCGAACTGTTAGGATCAGGGTATGTCGAGTTGCCGTGATCAACACTTTTCGAGTTGCTAGAATTAACATTCTTCTAGTTAAGTAGTTTTTGTCAAGTTGCTAGAGTAAAAAATTCTCGACGTGCCAAATTCGGTGCTCTTTATGTTGCTGGAATTAGTATTCTTCACATTTCTGGAAATAATTTGACTATAGCAACATGAAGAATATTACTTCTAGTAACTTCCAAAATACTAATTCCAACATCATAAAGAACATTATTTCTAGCAACATACGGATCATTGGCTATAGCACCTTAAAAAATATTAATTCTAGCAACATACAGAACACCCACTATAGCAACATAAAAATATTAATTCTAGCACCGTAAGACGCATTAATCAGGAAAATTAATTTTCTTCATATTGCTATGGTCAGTTTTCCTTATGTTGCTAGAATTACAATTCATCAATTTGCTGGAATTAATATTCTTCAAGTTGCTATAGTCGGTGCTTTTTGTGTTGCTAGAATTTATATGTGTACATACATATATTTTTGTTTTTTTTGTTGTTGCTATAGTCATTGCTCTTTGTGTTGCTGGAATTAATATTCTTCATGTTGCTGCAATTAGGATTCGTCAAGTTTCTATAGTTAACTATTCCCCATGCTGCTGAATCAGTATTTTTCAAGCTGATAGAACCACTATTCCTCCTATCGCTAGAATCAATGAACCTGACATTCCTAGACTCAGTGTGACGTTCGATCCCAACTCACTGTGATTGAAAGAGATACTTGAAGTGGCATCCCCGGCTTACAAATGTCTGGGGAACGAGTTGATCAGTAGACTGACGCGTAGACGGATCCTGGCTGATAGTTGTCGTTGGAGTATTTGCTCCCAATCAATGGGATCAATCACTGGGGTCAGAAAAATATGACGGTGTTGATTCAACTACGACCGGACCAAGCACAGCCGGGAGTCGACTAATTACATTACCGTCCCATTGTGTCGTTTTTATGGGCTGGGTAATCAAAGGAAATGTCCGATGTGTACAGTTGCCACAAAGTGCCTCAGTTGTACAAATTAAGTACTATACGTTGATGGGATCCGCAGTAAGGTAGTTGCTGGTTAGGTAGGTAGGTAAGTAGGTAGGTAGGTAGGTAGGTAGGTAGGTAGATAGGTAGGTAGTTAGGAAGGGAGGCGGGTAGATATGCAGACTGGAAAATAGATTTTAAATTTTTTGCGTCAGTCTCTTTTTTGTTTGTTTTTTGGGTCAGACGGTTTGTCGATAGAAAGGTAGCTGGTAGATTAGAAGACAGGTAAATAGATGAACAGGTAGGATAATAATAAGTATTATAGATGTATGGCGGCGTCCAAGGCTTAGGCGTTGCGAGTCCGACGCGTAATTCCAATATACCACGATCCAAACCCACTGCTGGCTGCATGGGTTTTTATCATGGTATGGGGCGTCGCAGATCGACCAGCCTAAAGTGGGTACCAGGATGGCTGTCCTGGGGAAGTAGAGACCGCCGGCGTAATGCTGACCACATTACCCACCTAGTGCTAACTGGTCTGTACAAATATGGGATGCTCTTCCCATGTGCCTGATGCGCCTAATGCGTAAAAAGGGATCTTTACTTAATTACATTATATATATATATATATATATATATATATATATATATATATAAAGTATCTAAACATGTGAGTTGATATGGAGCTGCTACATACGCAGACAGTCAGACAAGATGATGAAAGAGTAAATTGTTTTAAACGAGTAGATATTCATACAGAGTTATCAGTTAAGAACCGACCTCTTTGCACTTTGGAAATTCCTACAAGCGCCCTCTCCTTTTCCTTGAATGTTGAGCGTCGATCAGATCCCCCCTGGTCACACTTGCAGCTTCATTTTCCTTACACCCGGATGATCTGTGTGTGTCTCCACCCGTTTCACTCGCTTCCAAAGGATCCTTCCAACATCTAGCCTGTCACACATAATTTCTCTACCAAGTGATGCAGAACCAAATAGTCCGCTTCTCGTTTACCAAGACACTGACATTACCTGAAGAACAAATTCAAAGCACGCGAACTACCTGAGAAATCTGAAGCGATGCTTGTGTCTCAACATATTTTGTGTGTCAGTTACAACTGTGACTTGTTTGCACAGTTAGTTTTCAAGCTAGAAAAAGGCTGCAGTGACCGCCTCCACCTCCATTCTCAAACTAGATGTTGTGGTGTCATGTGCCAGACGTTTTTGCACTAAGCGACGTCCATCCGCTTTTTCGATGAACCCCTTTGAACTTTACCTGTCTCTTAACACTGAGCCACTAATAACTAGCTAATAACAGAGTCGACGTAAATGGCTTAGGGGTTACAAACGCAGTGTGTAATTCTGAAATATCCGGTTGCAGAAGTTTTTGCAGAAGGCTGTTTTGCGGTAATTTCTACAATGATAGGGAGAGTCAACCGTGTGAAAGGAATGGCAAATTCTATTTCTTTGTCTTTTGCCCTTTATCCTTCAATTGAGTATGCCATCAACCACATCACACCAAGTCTTACTATCTATTGCTATCGTATACAGCTCCCCCGTGTCTTCCCATCTCATTCTGTACTTCACTGTATTTCCCATCTCTTTAACTTCATTCTGTACTTCACTGTATTTCCCATCTCTTTAACTTTATTCTGTACTTCACTTCTCCGTGTGTTCAAAGTGCTTCTAGTTGTATTGTCTTCAGGTCTTTTCGGTGTGTTCTATCCAGCAGCCGATTGCTTTGTGCTCATTTCAATAATAATGTGGACAGTTGACCGTTCAAAAGGAATGGCAGTTTACTGAATACGAAACTGCCTGCTAAAGCGACAAACAGCGCATATAAACTGTAGCTGGTTTGCAAAATCCCGTAAAGGATAGGCAAACTAACGTTTAATAAATGGATGACTATGTAGGTAAGGCGATAAGTTTATAGTTATATATATTCACAAACTCGGGCAATTTAAGTGTTCGCGACATTGTGTATATTAACTATTCATGAAGCGGAAGCACACAGAAAGGAATTCTGGTAGTATTAACAACAAGCCCCTAACACACACACACACACACATACACACACACACACACATTCACACTAACTGGCAATCTGTATATGCTAATGAATGAATGAATTACATTCCCCTGGCCAGTGATTCCGTAGGGTTGCAATTAGAATCAAGTGTGGTAGCGTCTGGATCTTCTGTAGCGCGGGGTTAGATAGAATCAAGTATGGTGGAATCTGGATCTGCGGTAGCGCGGGGTTAGATAGAATCAAGTATGGTGGAATCTGGATCTGCGGTAGCGCAGAGTTAGACGATTGTTGCTTGTCAGTCTGAATGTTTTGGGTTCCAGTCGGTACCCATCTCCGTGTGTAGTCCTATGTCCCATTCTAAGGAAATAGAGTATAGACACGTTGCCTCCCTAACAAACCTGTCGTAGAAGGCG